CGTTAAGAACCTGGGTTTATTTGGCTTAGACAATGCAAGTCCGAACTGATGAAATACACTACGAAACATTGTCAACCACCTTCAAACACTAGTATTTTTTGTTCATTATTGTTTTAAGCTTATTTAAAAAAAATGTTTTCAACTTTTTCGTTCGATGTTTTTTAAAAGCGTGTTTTTCAGTTTCTCAAACTATATTCATTTAGTTCATTGAACAACTAGCATTGGGTACATTAGATAGGCTGAATAGTTCGTAGCCTAACACACAAATGGCGTTACTGGTGTTGAATCCATATGAGTTTTAATCAACCCTAACCTTCAAAAGGCAAGTTTATGAATTTCACAGTTATCGGACTATTAGTTTGTGGAATAGAACAGTATGGGTGAAGCAACTTTTGTTAGTTTGAAGAAAATTGGTAAAAAGGAATTTCGTGTGTTAACAAAGCTTTGCTTTTTGAGAAAAAAGTACTGTTACAGCTAAGGTTTGGCTTGATGAGCATTATTCGAACTTTTTACTAGGAAAATCAACCGTTGAGAAATAGTTTGCTAAATTTAAATAAGGTGTAATGAGCACCGAGCGTTATTGAAGCGTTTGAAGGACGAAATCCCGTGAGCACGGGCCCATTTAAAGAAGAATAAAGTGCTGTTTCATTAAGATAATGCAACGCGTCACAAATCAATGAAAACGATGGCAAAATTAGGTTTCAATTAAGGATTTTTGTGGTCGACTATGTAGGTATATAAGAATCCACACCGTGTTATCCTAGTAACCGAGAGGAATGTGTCAGTTTGAAAGCTATCACTATTGATACTGAAAATTCACTTCATTTCGTTGAAATTTTCAAAGCCGGTCCGCTCGTTCACCGGATTTGACTTCTCTCGATTTTCTCCTTTGGAGCTACATCAAATCGAATGTTAATGTTACGCAACCTGGGAACTTGGAGACATAATTACCAAAACTTGTGCCCGGCATCACCCAAAAAACATTCCCGAGAGTTAGAAATTTCAGAGGGGGGTAGACTATTTTCGTCCGCACTGTACAGTTAACGTATAAAAAAATCAAAAGTTCGCTTTTCAAACGAGTTAATATTAAGAGCAGGTACAGGAAGTTTTCAAGTCTTTTTTTACAATATCAACATTTTGATTTTTATATCGATTTCATGGAAGTTTGGGTTGGTTTCCGGGTTTTGTCGTGGTCTTCTTTGGTTACAGTCTCTAAAGGTTTCAACTGCAACTGCGGCAGTCATATTCAGGTCAAAACAAAGTTGCAGGCAACTCTTTTGGACTATGGTTTCATATAGTTGTTTAGAAGCAAAACGAATAATAAAGGTTTGAAATCTTGGATAAATATTTTCAAAGAATTGAATAGAACTGGCAGTTACTTGATGAAAATCCAAATTGAAACTAAACGTAAACACTTGAGGAAGCTATATTGTTTTAGCGAAACACGGTTTTTGAAAAATCCTTTGTAGTGAAATTCATACAATAAATTGTATTCATTAGTTTTTTTATTTTCAAAGATCTTCAAATCTGATGAATTAGCTAAGAATTTTTGTGGTAAAGTATAGTTTTTGGAATTACAAAGTGCGTTGTGTTCGGGCTCTGATTATCAACTATATAGTTGCCTTGCAGTGAAAGCTGCAGTGAACGACAGAAGACGAATCTCGTCAACAAATGAGGTCAATACTTGGCTTGGCAAATGACCGCTTTGGGGAGCCTCGATTATCTTTAATATTCAAGGATTCAGTTCTCCATCGACCCCATAGTTGGGTTCTTTGTGGGGGGAGACGTCATCGCTTTCATTTAGTCAATGATTAAAAAAATCTGTCGCACCCCTACGGACGACAACCCTCAGAAGTCGAAACTTGTGCGAGCTAAGGATTAACAAGGTCTTACCTTTTAACGTGTGATTCCTAACACGGGTTGGACGATAGCAAGTGAAGATCGATCGTTCAGACTAGGGCTTGAACCACCGACCAACACGGCAGTCAATTCGAGTGAGTGAACAAAGCACCCACGCCGAACCGCTTGGTTACCGACCGATTCACAGAATCACCACTATATTTATTACCGCAAAAGTTTGAAGAATTGCCCATAAAACCATTCAATTTTGTGGCAACTTGAATGACCGTTAACTTGGTTAAACTCGCTTCCTACCCTAGATTAAATTAATTATGAGATCTTTCTATTCTATTTATTTTTCTCTTATACTGTCTTTCTTGGGTTTATGACCTTCCACAATCTGAGAAAATAAAGAACATAACGTTCGACATTACTAGTCAAATCAAACACAACACTTTCAACATCCACGAACCTCTGTCCGTTCCAAAAGTGAAGAGCGCTTCCATAGCTTATTTCAGTGGAGATGTCTTTCCTTACGCCCTCATCGTAATAGCCTGCATCATTTTCGTCCTGGGAATAGTCGGGATCATATACATATGCATCTCATGGTCTAGGTATGAAGATATTGGAACTGGTTTAGTTGAAGTTTTCTTATTTTTTTTCGTTCACTCAGGTACAAAAATTACAAGGAGCAAATGCACCAGCAGTACACTGTTCCATCGAGTCCTGTTAGATACGATACAGTTTATGTAGAGCCGAATCTGAAAGAATATGAAACGCAGGTGTTGCAGATGGTTGTCCCGGTGGATGATCATGAAGATTACAATGACTTGCATCTGGATTTCAGCAACAAAAACCACACATTCAGTTTGGACAATGTCAGTTACATCAGCAAGGACAATAACCTTAACAAATACGGTGAGTATCTCTGGTTGAAATCTTGAATATTTCAAAAGTACAAAGTCGAATCTTTGGATATAATTGAACCTACAAACAATATTATATTTGACATATTGTTTGCTGTTTTCAAGTTTATGAATCGTGGTCTGTATGTTTTTGGGCCTGACGTTTCGTCCGACATTGCAGCAGACATTACCAAGAGTGATACGGCAATAGCCTTGCTGCAATACAACTGACATATTTGCAGGACCAATTTCAATTTGCTCTTCTGAAATAATGAAGAAAATTGTGTTCTCTTAAGAGTACACTTTCTTTTCGAAAATATAGTGCAGCTGTGGACGATTAAAGAGTCCACTGTCAGTATGTAGTATGTCAGTAGAATGGCTAACTTTCTGTTGAATTCTAAGATTCTTACTGACTGCCAGCACGGTTTTCGTAAAGGCAAGTCCACACAGTCAGCTGCCTGTAGTTTTGCTGAAATCATCTATAACTCCCTAGACCATGGTATGCACGTGGCAGGAATATTTTTTGACCTCTCACGTGCATTCGACTGTCTATCTTATGTCTCTATTGAAACCAAACTTTTTAATCTAGGATTTAGGGGTGTATTTTTGCAATGGCTCAAACATTTTCTTTCAGACCGTACAATGTTGGTAAAAATAAAAGATACACTATCTGATCCTCAACCAATCAGTTCAGGAGTTCCTCAAGGCTCTGTCCTGGGACCGCTTATCTTTCTATTATTCGTCAATGATCTACCCAAATACTTCAACATCAACAACAATAGTCTCACTCTCTTTGCTGACGATACCTCGTTAGCGGTGTCAGCACACAGCCTAGAGGAATTAAAGTCATCAACGGAAAGGTTTATAACACACTTCTTAGATTGGTGCAAGTTAAACAATCTGATTGTTAACTTGAATAAAACAAAATGTATCCATTTTNAGCGACATCTTCATGTGGTGGCTTAGCACAAGTTGCTTTTGTACAAATAATTCATAGTCGTATAATGCAACAAACAAATTGTCTATCTTGGTGGAAAAAGTCCATTTGGCCATATATATGAAGAGTCCTTCCTACAAAAAGATCTCTGTGCTGTGTACTTCATTATTCAATTCGGCGGAATTTGTTTTTAATCAAACCGTAATATTTGTTTTAGGTCAACAAAGTCCAGTTAGCAGTGAATCTGCTACGACAGCACGAGCATCCAGCGTGGGGGATACTCATGTACTGTCCAAAAACATTAGTAATACACTGAGACGTGATCATGTATATAGGTGAGAAACTAACATTGTAAATTTTTTATGATTCTGAAAATTACGACATTGCATACATTTTCTTATGTATTGTTTAATTTTTTAATAGATCTTCTGATGAAGAAGAAATGAATGCCAGCCCTACAAACGACAATGTGATGTTTAAGGAGAAGAAAGACTACCTAAATTTAGGATTCTCCTTTGATCATTCCCCAGTCGAAACAACGACCGAACTGTAGATATTTTAAAATTTTGTATAGTAACAACAAAGTATATTTATGGTATTTTCAAGATGAGACTTTGAGGTTTAGGTTAATTTTGTAATAAATTTTATCATATTTTTAGTTCTCTTTCATTTCGCTACCCTTTCCGTTCTCATTTTTCAAAACTACAAATACAAATTCACTATATATGATACAACCTTAGGGTTCGAAACTGCCGAACGCGACTTTTGAATTTGGTTCCACCGAATGAAACTTTTGACTTCGAAAACACTAATTTCAACTTCTTAGTTCGGAACCACCGAATTTAATTTTCACATTCGGGAAACCAAATTCAATTGTGTGCGAAGCCATCAAACGCAACTTTTTAGTTCGAGATCATTGAAGACAACCGAATGTACCTGTTGGTTTCGAAGCCACCGAATGCAACCATTGTGTTCAGTGCCGCCGAATGTAAATCTAGACTTCGGAGCCAACGAATGCAGGTTTTAAGTTCATAACAACCGAATGCAACTTTCGGACACAAGCCACCCAATCAAACTTTTGTGTTCGCAGTTGCCGAATGCAATAATTGTATTCAGTGTCGTCGAATGTAAATTTTGTGTCGAAGGCATAGGTTTGAGTTCATAACAACCGAATGCAACTTTCGAGCTCCAGCCACCGGATCTAATTTTGGTGTTCGAAAACAATGAATGCAACATTTGCACGGCGTCGTCGAATGTAATTCTTTTTTCGGAGCCTCCGAATGCAGGTTTTGAATTTCTGAGTTCAAACGAATGCTACTTTCGGACTGCCACGGAATGTGGCCTTTGTGTTAGAGACTACCGAATGCAACTTAATATTAGAGATAATTTTTGTGTTCAAAGCCGACGAACCAGATGAAAAATTTACAATTTCGAAAAAATAAAGAAAATGAAAATAAAAGAAAACTTATAATGTATTTATTACAAAGTTGGATTGAAACAAGAATACAACTAGTTACCAATCTCAACCCTGTTTCTGGGCGAGTTCCTTAGCCCTGGCCCTTTCGATCTTGGCGATACGAGCTGCGGATTTGGAACCCAACAAACCACCACCCCAGTGTCTCCTGATTTCGTCTGAGCGATCATTGAAGTTGGTTTTGATGACTTCCACAACCTTGTTGAAGTTGGACCTACAATGAAACCAAGTTAGTAGCCAATAAATACTAGGAATTCTAAGCAAAAATGAAATAAAGTAAAGTAAAAGAACAAGGGTATTCGTTCAAAGGTATCGCGGAATTCTTACCTGTCACCAGAATCAACCTGGGTAAGAGCTACTGCAGTGCAAGTTTTGCGCCTCACCAAAAGTCCCAGTCTAGCTTTTCCTTTCACTATGCAATATGGTACACCCATTTTCCTGCAGAGGGCGGGTAAGAATAACACCAACTGAAACAAAATAACATTTCCTTCAATTGATACTCATCAGTATTTCATGCATTTTCATGGTTAGAATTGTAAGCTCAGGGTCAAGGTTCTTCATGTTTAAGCATTCTTTAATGAAATGCGTTCAGGTGAAGAAATTCAAAAACATCATAGCAAAATTGAACCACTTCATAATTATTTACAAATTGAAAGTGGAGAGAAAAACAATGATTTACAAAAAAAATATTTCGTGGGTAGACTGAAGTTTGGAGTTTTGTTTTTGGGTTTCGTCCAGGAATTTATAGCGAAAGCAACAAAAACATCCATGAAAACTCTGGCAAAAACCTTTTGATCATGCATGCACGTCCTTTCAGGCACGAAACAAAAGAAACTCTCAGAAATTACCTACACTTTATAGAGTAGGATTTCAAGTGATAAGTCTTGTTATTCCACAACACAGAAGAACAAAGACTTTCGCCACCAATGTCGAAGTGAACTTCAACTACCCAACATTTCGTTTGCTACAGACACCTTCAGTGGTGTAGAAAGACGTCGATTGTCTTGGTGTCGGAAACGAGTATTCAGCAGTCTCCAGAAATCAAAACAAGAAACTATACAATTGAGCCCTCGGAAAAATACTCCGTTTCAATTCTAAATAAGAATGGGGAATGTTCCTCAATCTGGGTTATTACAGCAAATGCAAGTTTGAACAAAATAAAGTTGAGTTTAATTCATGAGTTTTTCAAATTCACTTCGAAAAGTATTCAAATTGATGTTTCAAATGTTGGGTTTTTATTTTTGAAGGGATTTGTTTCTGATTCACATATTGGCAACAGCGCCTTGCATCGCCTATATCAAGTTGAAATAATTTATATGTACCTAGATATTCTACTTTAAGAAAGGAAAATCAACTTTATAAATCAATAATTAGGGCAAAATATAAATTATAGTTCAATACCACCTCCACAAGCCACATAAACAAGTTGTTTTGTTATTTACTTGTATAGAGGAAGATAGGTTAGGTGCACAAAATGTCATGTCACAGAATGTCTCTGAACTCTGAACATAAGTAAACAGAACAGCATGCCTCTGAAATATGTCATTTTTGTTTGTCAACAGATTCATTGTCGTTTATTAGCTATAACTGATGTTGCCAAATGGTGAAATAGAAATGAATCCCTTTAAATGTTGAATGCATTATTTCATTCCTCTTTTTCAAGTATTTGAATAATTTTTTAAAGAAAAAGGTTGAAATGATAAGTTTAAAATGCGTTGTTTGAGAGCTCTTTTATGAAAACTACTCGATATTCGTCAGGAGGAACATTCCCCATTGTTTTGAACAGGTTGAACGAAGATAGCTACAATTAAAGTGGATATAGTTGTAGTGAAAATAAGTACCAGCCCTGATTAATTCATGACAGGGCTCCTAGAAGGACTACAATTATCATATTTCACTAAAATGTACTGTGGATAGCCTCTAATATCAGGTTTTCATTATTTCTAGAGCTTTCTGCCTCATATGAACTTTGAATTACATAGAAATATCACTTTTTCTTCAGAGATTGATTCGACAGTTACTTAATGAAGATCCATACTAATTGCATAAACAACACTTTTCTCATCTTGTGTTTCAAAGTACTGCTGAATTTGATTGTAGCAAAATAAAACACTGTGAACACCACAATAAACTTATAAGAAATTCAATTTGATAGATAATGTCATGAAACAGAGAAAACTATCACAGAGTAGAGAGATCGTCATGAATGTCCCTCAGGGTTCAGTATTGAGGCCCCTTACTTTTCCTGATATATCCAAACAATCGGGCAAATATTAGAAAGAATTAAATCTGAGCAGGTAGGCGGTGATCAAGAGGAATCTGTACTAGCAAACGTTTCGTCTGCTATTGTGGCAGACATCTTCAGCAGTGTATGAGATACTACCTTCTTCCTCGTAATCAATGCCTACCAACCAATAAAATATATGCCACGGCGACAGAAGAAATGTGTGGTACTACAATTCTAATTATCTACGCTTAAACATTCTACACTTTTATAAAATTGACTGAATACAATTATTATTGACTTAGTTGCTATTATATTTTATAGTTTTTCATATATTTTTCATTTTATGGTATATTTCAACTTTCACATTCCAACATAACATTATCATTAAAGTAATTTTTGATTTGGTGAAAATGTTTGTACCACGTACAATTCGAGAATCAAAAGCAACGGTTTCAAAAATGAACTATTCTTGTTTTTATACAAAACTGATGTCAATTTTTATATCACCAACACATACCTCAATAGGGTCCACGTCGTGGGCAATCACTACCAGCTGAGCTTTCTTCTGTTCAATGAGTTTAGTAACAGTGTTAGTTCCAGCCCTGAGGGTGTTTGGCCTCTTGGTAGGGGCTTCCTCTTTCTTGGCCACTTTAGCTTCGGCTTTAGCCTTCAGCCTATTCCTTTTTTGGAGAGCTGTCTCTGGTCTGTATTTCTCTAGGAGTTTGAACAACTGGGTGGCTAAAAACAAATTCATTTATGACATAACAAAGAATCAACTGATAAGTCATGGATAAAACACAAGTAATTTCTTGTATTCAATATTTATTCCCTACATCCATGGCTATACATATACTCAACTACTATTCAACCAACTCTAGTAAATGAAGAATGTCATGAAATTGTAAAGTAGACTCCATATTACGATTCTGATACTATACGGCGTCTGGAGCATTATAGAACTGTTATTCAGTTTGTATATTTGGCAGCACATACGCAACAGATATCTTTCGTTGAGGTTTAACCAAGTAAAAGTTCAGAATGGAGTGCTATTATGGTCATCCTTGCGGGAACCTTAACTATATCATATAATAATACAATAATAATATGAATTTATTCAATTTTCAGTGTAAGGATCAGTCAATAACAATTTGAACAAATTCAGGAAACCCACAAAGCACACCCTGTGCGTGGGTACTACTGTTTTACTCACAATATTCATTATACATGCACTCTGCAATTTCTGAAGGCTATTTCCATCCCACTGCAATATTTAGGACCAGACATAGTTGAAGAGTCAAAAGCCCAAGGTTATTATCTATGTTAAGAATAACCTTGTACATATACGTCATTCTCAACTTTCTGTAAGCGTTTTTCAATAGACATGCTTGTCAAATCTCAGGCTATAATCTGTTGAAATCCGTTTTTCCGTTAACCAGCAGTATAAACCAAAACTATCAACATTATTAGTTCTGAGTGTGTTTTTATCAAGATATATTTTAAATTTGCATTATTTCTGACCTAACACTTCAGTTTTGAAATCGTTTAACCAAAGACAGTGTTTATGATACACGAAAAATGTAATCTGAGATCTGAGCTTTATTTGTTCGAGAGCTATTGAAGAATGTGCTGTGTAGACAGAAAATAATAGGGGACCAAGTATACTACCCTGGTGGACTCAGTTATTCATACTCCCCCCCCCTTTGAATCACTTATATTGAATTTGACCTGCTCACTTCGTCCTAATAAGTAAGTTCTCATGAAATTCACGAACGATGCACCTACTCCTAAGTGATGTAGATTAAAATACAATAGTTTGTGTTTCAAGGTAAGGCCTTACTAAAGTACAACAAGATCAAAATAGTGTAAGTTTCCTATTCCATGCTCTAATTCATTTTAGCTATTGAACAACAAACCCATAGATTATTCAAAACCTAATTGGAACTTGAAGGACGTCTCTGCAACACATGCTCTCTCCATATTTTATAAATTACTATTCTAATTAATTCATAGACCTCATGGGTAAAATACCCACTTACCTGTTTGTTTGTCAACGGTTTGAGTAAACTGATTGATTGGCGGAGGAACCTTTAATCTCTTCTGCAAAACGGCCTTCTGCCTTTGAATTCGAATGTATTTGGGCCATTTGACGAACCTCGATAAATCACGTGGAGGTTGAATATCCTGACCTACAAGAATTCACTGTCACTTGTTTGGAATAATCTTAGCAATAAACTATCTCACCGATTCCAAAGTTCCTTACCCTCTTTTCGAAAAGAGGGTTAACCTCCTTCTTGGACTCTACTTTCTTGACTGCCAATGGAGCAGCTGCAACTTTCTTTCCGACCTTCTTCTTGGGCTGAAACAGCATAAGTATACTGAATAATAATAGTGTTAAACTAACGTTTTACAATAATGGTTTTCACTTATCAGTCTTATCTATGGTGGTAGAATGATTATCTTCAAACAATAATGTCTTCAGATAGCAAATACAGTCATCATGCAATGAAACCCAATATCGAATATAACCTCAAATGTACAGTTAAAAATTGAACATTGACAATTAAATTTTCTAATGAATAGGAAATACGTCTTCATAAATATAATTCAAAATGAAAATAGTTCAAAGATATTCCAAATCCGGGGTAAACACAAAGTTGTAAAGAGCTGAACACATATTTCTCGCACTTTCAAATTAAAACTTCCTCAAACTTTAGATGCGGAAAATATTGAACAAACAGCAAAAAACTTTAAACGTACCTTTTTCTGGACCATTTTGAAAACTAGTTTCGATTAGGATGACCAAAATATTAAAAAGTTAAATTATCAAACACAGACAACCTCGCTTCAGCTTAGCTGTCTTGTCAAAAAGAACACATGCGCTACTGCCAACTTGACAACAGCAAACTAATGACAGATGACAGGAGAAACCTTGTTACTCCGCTCGATAACTGTCTTCTCACCAAAACCTGTCTGTATATATATGTTTCGTGTACACTCTATAATCCAATTTCCCATCTTCAAGTCTGTTAAAGAAGGCGATAGTTTCTCGAGTTTCCCCTTCCTTTTTGAACTGAAATATTGGGTTGAGAGAGTTCACACACTTCAGACATTCGTTGAGATTCTCTCACCACGCGTCATACCATATAATTTTGTGTTCTATGCAACTATCGAATTATTGACAAAATGTCTTCGGTAGTTGAATGTGTACCTTGAATTTATTACTTGCCCAATATTAAGGAAAACAAAATTTCTCAACTATTCAGTGCAACTGGTAAAAAAGAAAGAATATATCATTTTTTGGGAACGTATTAAAAATATAATAATAGTGTCATACTGAAAGTTTCAATGGGGTTTAATGTAACTTAAGGAAGTTTTACTGAATACAACCGTATAAAATAATCAACATTACCTAATGGGGATCATGATAAGAGTCCTCCTGGGACATATATATTCGTTCCATACATATACAAGTTCAGAGTGTCCATGTACAACACGCCTGATTAGTGAAAGAGCGAGTTTCTTAAATTCACCGGGAGAGCTTATATTGGGTTGCTTCAAAGGTGATGTCCATTTTGATGTCAGGTGTTTTCTACTATGTCGTGGTATACTAATCGATACAGCATTTTGTACTCTATACATTAATGCTGTCCATTTTTCCAAATTTTTATTTCCTGTCTGTTTCCGGCTTGAGCGATTTTTGGACAATTTTTCTCTACAAACTCAAATTGAACCAAAGCGCTGTCAAAACAGCCATAAAAATGAAGCAGTCATTTGGCAAATGATGGTGTCAATGAACTCACTGTTCGACGTTGGTTTGTAAAATTTCGTTCCGCAGACTTCAACCTCGAAGATGAGTCCTGGAGTGGTCAAAGTACAGTGATCTAGGACAAGGATTTGTGGGATCCTGGTGGAGATTGACCCATCACAAACATTGCGTGGGATGGCAGAAGAACTGGACACCAGCTCCCATGTGGTTTTTGTTGATTTATAACCCATTGAGAAGGTCAGAAAGCTCAAAAAGTGGGTGCCCCATGATTTGAAAGATCGACAGAAATTGTCACGTTCCGACGATAATTGCGTCAGCAGTAGCTGACACTGGTTAACAAAAGGACCAATGCTGCTTCACGATAACGCCGAATACTCTCCACCCACCATACTCCCCAAACCTCTCGTGAACCGACTATCAAGCACTTTGATAACTTTCTCAATGGTAGAACCTTTGCCAATCATGGCGAGGCAATAGTTGTAACATTTATCGCGTTCTTTGTTCTGTGATTAGTTCCTCTGATGCCACATACTAATCAATTGAGGTTTATGATTGATGGATTTAGTTTGATTGAAAATTGACCTTAATACATATTGGAGAATGGAAGAAATTCTCCTTTACATAAGCTACAGAAACTTACCACATATCCACATTTCATGTACAATTTATTGTTTTCAGTTGTCAATTATATACAATTTTGCTGCTGTGTGTTTTCAGTATATCTAAAATCTTATTCTTTTAACTCAATCTTTCAAGTCTGCGCATCATTGATAGACTGCTGTTGAATTCAAGAACGAACTCGCCTAAGGCATTTTGATAGATTCCAAAACGCAACCGACCATAACATGTATGAATGGTTGCGCATGTTTCTAGTATTTTCAAGCGTTTCACCATTGGCAACACTGATATTCGACGTGTTATATTAAGAAGACATGTAGAAACTTTTGAATTTCACCGCGTTTGAATAATTCAGTGAAGTTTATATTTTTCATTATGCAATAATGAACACTGAATACTTCAACTGGAAATAATAAACACATTCGTAGTTGCAATTGTTGTGTATTACATTGTAGGAACAGCATAAATAATAGTGAATTGACAATTTTCAGATTTCAAAAAACTGTGAAACTTAAAAAAAATTATTGATTGGTTAGGGAATACCTGTTAGTGAAAATACTTTGGATCTTTTCATATACAAACGAATGTATAGGCGAAAAGATTAAACTATATTCCAATCCGAGGTTCAGTAAATGTTGCTGAGGTGTGTACCGTTTTCCGGTTCGGAACAGTGTTCCAAGCTTTTGAGAAGCGGCTATTGCAGTTCCAGCGACATGATTGTGCCAAGACATATTGGTGTACATTTTAACCCCCAACAAACTTATCGAAGCAGAAAGTAGAATTGTCTGGAGTGACATTATTATATCCGGCTCGGAAATATTTATCTTTTTGGAGAAAACTGATGCATGGGTTCTTGTGTGGCATCGAATTGAACCGGGTTATTTTGACCCTAATTCAAAATTACTTCTAGATCCTCATTAAGATATGCAATCTTCTTTTGCCGGTGAAGATATGCATCCGCCACCGATGTCATTTTTAAGTAACTTGGATACATTATTAAATATAACAAACAAGAATTTCAACATTTCACTGAAAGTTTCGATATATGCCCGTGGAGCAAACACACTATCTGTTATTTAATATACTTTGAAAATAAACCGTTTGGCGGGAGTTGGTCGTTTTTCGCTTGATAAGAGGTTTCCATATGTTACGTATCTCTACGCTAGCTTGACTAAATGCGTTGTTGGACAATATATTCGCGGCTTCCTTGAACTTTCTTCGAAACCAGTGTTCCTCTTTGTGGATGATTTCAGCTTGAGCCCACTTGATATTATGTTGATGAGTCCAAATATGCTCTGCTATTCCTGATTTGCTGGTTTCTCCTTGCTGTGTGTGTTTCTTGTGCTCAGCAATGCAAACTTTCAATGGCCTCTTAGTTTCAACGATGTATGATTCTCCGCACTCGCAGGGTATACGGTAAATGCAATTCTTGGAATCGCAGTCCGTGTTTGGTGACCTGGTTTATGTGAGGCTGCTACGGATAGTGTTCCCAGATCTGAAGCAGGTTCTGATATGTTATACTTGGACCCAATCCTTCTTTTCCTTTCCGATAATCCTCTGATGTAGGGGAGTACAAGTACTGGTTGTGGCGGCTTCTCTTCCTTGTGGAGTTCTTGCTGTCTTCTAGCTGAAGCCTGTTCTACCACCACTCTGGAGTAACCATTCCGTTGAAGGTCATTTTTGATGATGCCTATTTCTTTTTCGAGACCTTCCTTTGTATTACAGAGCTCAAAAGCACGGTCTAGTACAGTCTTGATGATTCCTCTCTTAGTCGATTGATGATGGTTGGATTTCTGGTTCAGATACTGTCCTGTGTGCGAGTGGGTTTTCGATATACAGATGTTTCCCATTTAGTTTCGGTCCTCTTCACATACATGAAAGCAATTCGTTGTGGACTTCCTCCTCCATTGTGAAAGTGATGGAAGGACTCACGTTGTTGATGTGCTTCAGGAAAGTGTCTAGTTCTGCATTCCCATGGTTCCATATTATGAAGGTGTCGTCAACATATCTCAACCAGACTCGAGGTTTCTTGTGGGCTTCTTCAATGGCCAGAGTTTTGAACCACTCCATATATATGTTGGCTATGACTGGTGAAAGTGGCAATCCCATTGGCAGTCCCTAATCTTGCGTAAAAAATTCGTCCTTCAGTTGGAAGTAGCAGTTTTGTACACAGCCTCTTAGTAAGTTTGTTCTATCTTTCAGGTCCCCATCTACGTATAATACAGGCGTAATTAACATACAAAGTATGATACTCAAAAAGATCTGAGTACGAATCTGCATCAAAACAGTAAGGAGCATGTGTAGCAGTTTTATGGACGTTTGACCAATATCATTGCAGATTCTAGCAAGCTATGAGGCGATAACGCGCTGATCATTGTTTATATGCTCTGATTCTCGGATTGGAATATAATTTAGATCCTATTCTTACTGAATTTGCAACTAATGATTTGTTTGTCCCAGGGGACGTTGCTCATCTGTTTTTTCAATGCATATTTTCAATAATAAATATACAATTTAAATACCTATATCTAAGTTGTCCTTGTCCATAATTACGCCTGTCATCTGCTCAAAACAGTGGCAGAGGTTTGTACTAGAAGCTGCGATGCTGCCAGCTGCTTTTTTGTGAACTTTCATATTTTATCACAGAGTAAAAAACCACGAGAAAAGGAAGAAGAAGACGTTTGCTAGTAGCTATTTTTTTCCCTTTCCCTCCTAACTTACGACTTAACCGCTCATTTCTCTCGACATTGTTCGTTTTATTTTTCATCCCCATACATTGAACGAATTAATTTGAGTGTTGAAAACAGAACAAGTTTTTTACCTCTTCAAACAAAAAATTATATACTTGTTTATCCATTTCGAATTGAACTTACTTTTTTAAATCATCAAAATGTTCTGGGGTAAGTAACAATTTCGAGGTTCATTTTAACCCGGCAACACGTGTCATCACTTTCGAATATTTCTCTCATGCGAAATTTGTTGCAAAAATGACCTTAAATTCTTTATTCTGTTACGATAATTTTCTTAAAACTAAAACGGTTTTGTCCAGGCTTGATTATGGAACCGCAAAGGCGGTACACTCAAAGAGTGAAAAAAGCATTCCACATCTCGATGGCTTCTTTGGACTTGTCTACATCTTCTGATGAACCTGCCCAAGTCATGTGTGGATTCGAAGGAAGAAATTATTTGCTGTGTACTCTGAGGAAACCGGATCTTTTGCAATGTCCTTTGGACCTCAACTTCGAGGTAAGTTTTGTTGCTTACACGATTATAAGTACTCATTCAAACATAATTTCCTCTGTTTTCAAATTTAAACTTTTCATTTTATACACTACAGATATTTTGAATGAGGTGTAACTTTGTAAAGTGCAGGCTTATACAGATGAACAGTTTTATATGAATTTCAGTATGGAGAGGTCAGATGCAGCTAAGGAAGTCATTAACAATGAGCTCAAAAAGGTTAAAGAATCAGCTGAAGAACTGTGTCTGAGGCTGAATTTTAATATCCGAAAGTTTTTTTTGTAGTACCACATATACAATAAACCCCTACAACTAAGTGACTCAGCTAGAAATTTGAGACTTACCGTAGAATTTGAATGCAATTCTCCCAGTACATCAAAAATCTGTTAGGCAGAGCTTTCGGATCACTTGAGATCTTTTGGAGTAATCAGCATATTCTCAATTTCAAATTGAAGCGTACAGTTTGTGAGTCACTAGTTTTGAGTCAGTTCAATCACTGTGACTTAATTTTTTATGGTCTATGCTTAACAATCGTTGATAAAATGTGGTTTCAAAAGGTACAAAATAGTCGTTGTAGACTCATTTTTGCGATAGGGAAATATGAACCCATTTCTCATATATTCCTCGAATGTGTCTACATGGAAAATGAAAGACAATAACTTCACTTCACATAAACATTTTTTGAGTTATCCTGACCTCCTCGATTTCAAATCCATTCAAAGAATGTCAGAAACAAGTCTACCTTCACCATGTCTCAGCATAGAACAGAAATTTTTCAAAGGTCATTTGTCTTTAATGCACTTGGTATATAATTATTACCAAAAGAGTTCAAAATGTATAATATTGATAAATTCAAATATGACATGAAAAAATTCTCACTTTCCAAATAATAAAACTCAACAGGACAAACTCTTGAACCACTCTACACATTACATATTATAAAAATTACTTCTCTCTCAAACTCTTCTCATAATTACTGAAATAATTTTACGCCCAAAATCATATAACCTTTCATATTCATGTAATTTCTCTGATAAAGGAGCAGTCAACCACAATTTAATTATTTGATTCACTATAATGACTTTTTTGCCGTAAACCCCTGAGGGTTAAGTAGACTAGCCTTAGCTAGACTTCCTATTCATTCATTTCATGTATTTATTCATCCTCAATGAAAGTCGAGTTATCTTTGTTTGACTGGTGTTTTAGTATAATCTAGTTTGAAAATGTTATTGTTGGATTTCCAATTGTAACTACATCCATATCTATTTCTGACTTGCAAAACATACCTACTTTTATCACAGGCATTACAATATAATCTGAAAGGAATAGTTGACACATTTCAGAAAAATTCAAAGAATCTGGCTGGTTGAGACTCGACAAAATTTGTTCCCTTCATCTGCTTATGGCAACTCATTAAATTTTGCTGAAAAAGAAACCAGATTATCTACTAAGGAGATATGTCACATTTTCATCCCAGAATTTATCTCACACTCCCAACCAAAATACTTTCAATATTTCTAGACACTCCTCTCTACTCACACGCAGTTGCTATTGTGTTTTTATTCAACTCAGTCAACCAATTTCCAGGGCCGTAATTTAAAAGGGAATAATTCACCCAATTATAATCAAATGTTACCGATACGCCTCGAAATATAAGACACTATTCCATTTTTATTTCAAGAAGGAATTTAATGTTCATTTCAAATCAATTTGTGATTTTCTTAAACTGGAGAAATATTTTTTTTTTGGCTGTTTCCTTACTGGTTATTGATTATCTTATAATGTAGCTCTTATTCAAATGTTCTTTCTACCCTTTCTAATCAATCATTTTCATTCACTGTGATGTACGTATACTGTAGAATTCTAATAGAATTGGCAGTGTACAGAGAATAGAAATACAGTATTTCACTTATGGGTTGTAATTAGATTGTAGTTCGACTCGAATAAAAAATAGTTTGTTAAGTTACAATAAATAAAGGGATTTTGTAATAAATACCACGGTCAAAAAGAAAAGAAAAACAACAAGAAATATAGTGGATATCTGGGAATTTTTCACCTACTTAACATATGTATCTTTCACATTTGTTGATATAATATTCGTCATTCTGAAGTCTTGAATTTGTCATGATATACCTACTGTTTTTACCTGATTTCAAGTTTCCATAACGGTTAATCGAATAATAACTGTAGGGCCATTATTATTTGGAAAAGTGACGAAATATTAAAATAAAAGCACTCCTGGTAATTTTCAGGTTGGAGATGAGCTGTCACTTGCGGCCAATGGAAAATGTCACGTACATTTGACTGGATATTTAACAGAAGATTTCGATGATTTACCAGAAGAAGAGGAAGATGAATCTACAGAGGAGGAGGAAGTCATTGAAAAGACGAAGAAGGACAAAAAAAGGAATAAAGCAGGACTAGCTAATGGACGTGAGTACAAGAAAAGATAATGTTCACATAAAAGTTTCCAATAACAACTTTTCACCAAACTTCTAGCTCCAGCAAAGAAAACCAAAGTTGCTGATTCTGATGAGGAAGACATGAGTGATACTGATGTGAGAGCTCTTTTAGAAGACTCTTTGGCCGAGACCGATGAAGATGATGCAACTTTCGCGTCAGGTGATGAGGAATCTGAAGATGATGGTGATGAAGATGATGATGATGATGACGACGAATCGGTATGAATACTTTAAATTATCATTAGAAGGAAGTAAAACAATGCAAATGCTATAAAATTGTATGAATATTATTGGGAGTTCTATCCCAGTTTGATCTTCCTCTTAAAGATGATCACTTGGTGATCGAAACACGTGTTGAGGTGTCAAAATTTCATTATTATATTGAATATTTGAAAAAAATGTAATACCACAAACAGGCTGTACTATCATCATCATGGATCTACTGAAACTGAACGTTTTATGTTCTTTTTTGTTCTTTCATAAGGTTACCTGCACTAAGGCGTTCTAATCATATATATATAAGGTAGGGACTAACGGGACTTTCAGTCAAACATATTCAAAAACCAAACTTACTCTATTTCACAAATCGCCAAGCTTTCGCCTCTGAATAGAGACTTCGTCAGGACGAAGTAATCCGAGTTTTACAATTGAAATGGGATATAGGAGTAGCAGGGATGAAAGTTGGAGGCAAAAGGAGGATAACGTGCCCTGCTGCCATGGCGTAAGTTGAGAGATTTTTCACAAAATTCTTTTTACTTCAGCTTGTTTTGCCAGAAGAATATTACATTGAAGCTATTCATTTCAGATATGGAGCTAAAGGATCCCCTCCAGCTATCCCAGGAAACTCCACTCTCATTTTCGAGGTAGAACTCAAAAAAGTCCGTTAAACTTGTTTTCCTCTGTTGAGGGAGGCCCATCTATGACATCTAATCTCCAATTGATTTCTCATTCTAAGTTCCAGAAAAAATGGTAGATAATTTTATTGATGGGTGTCACAACCTTCCAAAGAACTGTGTGTTGGCCGTTTGCTACAGTAGAGCACAGCCATCAATGAGAAGAAGAATTCAATATTCGTAATGTTACATGGCGGTTGTGACATCTGTCGAATTGTGAAACTATTAGGAGACGCTCGAAACCTTGCAAAACACTGTTTACATGAAAAGTTCTGGAATGAATCTTTTTTTTATATATCGATTGTATTGTAGTTTGAATATTGTTATAAGTGGACCACCTGGCATTTTGTTAACGTTTGATTATTATTTGTGTAAGTTGGAAGATTTGAATGTCGTCATTTTTACATCTTGTACTGTAGTTTCTTTACTCGGTTTTGCAGAAAACAAAAATCTTTTTTATTTTACTATACTTAGGTCTAAGCTGCATTCGTTAAAATAAAATATTTTTCACTATGCTTTGAATTTTCAATCCAAAAATAACTTTTGTACCGCCTGATGAAAAACTGTACGGCATCAGGCTACGATCAAATGGAGAAAAAAAGGCAAAAGAGTGTAGTAGTGCCATAGAAAGTATGCAGTATTCTTCATTGACGGTCCAGCCTTCAATTAGAGTCCAATTAAATTCGTACAGCGATGTTTTAGTATATGACAGTTGTAAAAATATTTTCCAGTTATATAGTATTATCATATTCTTTATTGAATTATCTTGTGACGTTGGGGGTGTTTTAATTTTGCAATTTCATCTTTGGAACAAAACTGCTGGATAGAAATTTGTGGAGGGTATTCCTATAAGGTCAAGAATAATTTCACGTGAATAGCGAACTGTATGTAAGTTTATATACAGGGTGGGCCATCGAAAACTTGATATGGAGGTTTTGTGTACTAATCTTGCAAATCCGAAAAAACGCCCAGACAGGTCGATTTTTATTGGGAGGGGGGCAGTTTCTTCCCCATTTACAGCGTCGTCACATCAACCCCGGAGCAGAGGGGTGAACAACCTTTGGAATTTTGATAGGGGGCGAGTCGCACATCGTTAGAAAGATCTTGGAATTCTCCAAACAATGGTGTACATTTTTTAAAATTTGGACGTATTTGAAAGAGTTGTTTCAGATAATTAACTTTTTCGATAGTGTTAATAGCAACAAATTGTTGTACGCCACTGCTCAGTTGGAATGTATTTGAAACTCTTTCATCTGTTTCTTACGCTACTTTTTTGTAAACTTTTTATTTCTTTTCTGATAAGAGAGCTATTACAATTGAGAAATGGTTGAAAATGCTGTTTCTATTTCTCATTTTTATGTTAAAAGTGATATCTACATTATTACTAATAGTGAGTGCCGTAAAGTATTGCTAAAGAAACAATGGTTTACACAACTGCAGAGAGGGTTGAGTTTATTGAACTGCACTATGGAAATATACGTTGTGCTACGAGAGCCGCTGAACTGTTCAATCAACAACATGGGAAGAAAGTGTCGCGACAGTATGTTTTCGCTTCAATTGCAAAAGTTCGCGTAACTGGATCTGTAGCAAATAAAAAACGGCAAATCAAACCACCAGTAACAAATGAGGCGACACAAGTGGCGATTGTGGGCCATGTTGAGCTTGACCATACTTTGAGCACAAGAAAGTTAACATTTGTTTCCGGGGTATCACGAACTAGCATTCAGCGTATTTTAAAAACCCACAAAATGCATCCTTACAAGATTAAATTAACGCAAGAACTAAATGAAGATGATTTCGATCGACGAGTTTTTTTTTTCTTAATGCGAATCTCGGAACTCCAAGAGATATCGTTGCCACCTTTGACTAGAAAGGATACGGCCTTAGAGGCGTTCAGGCATCGCCATAATTGTCGCTAATGGGCTGATTCAAATCCTCACATTTTTCATGGAGTACATACTCAACGTCCACAAAAATTAAATGTATGGGCTGGAATTTTTGGTGACCGTATTGTTGGCCCATTGTTTTAGAAGGCAATTTAACCGGACAAATGTATCTGGAGCTTTTGGAAGATACTATTAATCCCCTTCTCACCCCCCTCCCCTTCTCAATGATCACAATTATCGGGAGGATCTGTTAATATTTCAACAAGATGGAGCTCCTCCGCACCATGCCTGTTCGGCAGTATATAGATCAGATTTTTTCGGATCACTGGATTGGGAGGCGGGACACTATCGAATGGCCATCACGATCACCAGACCTTTTGCCGTTAGATTTCTTTCTGTGGAGTCATTTGAAAAGCAGAATTTACTGTTTTCCTCCTGCATCACTCGAAGATTTGCGGCAACGAATCACAAATGAATGTCGCCAAATCACTCCAGAAATGTTCCACAATGTTCGATAACATTTCCAGCAGAATCTCTGTTATTGCATGGAAGCTGGAGGTGCCCATTTTGAGCATATGCTAACATGAGAATATAGTTAGTAACTTCAACCCTAAATTAAATATGGTTCGTCCAAAATGTACACCATTGTTTAGAGAAGTCCAAGATCTTTCAAACGATCTGCGACTTGCCCCCAGTTCCCTATTAAAATTCTAAGGGTTGTTCACCTCTCTACTCCGGGTTTGAAGTGACGACGCTGTAAATGGGGAAAAAACTGTCCCCCTCCCAATAAAAAATCGACCTGTCTGAGCGTTTTTTAGGATTTGCAAGATTAGTACCCAAAACCTACATGTCAAGTTTTTGATGGCCCACCCTGTATAATATATATACACATATAAAGAGGTGCCTATATAAATGCATAAAGGGTTGCATATATCTACACACGCATAAAGGAGTGCATGCATTCATATACATGCATAAAGGGGGCATATGTATATACAGGAGGTATACATATACAAGGGTTGTCATTTTTCCAGCATGAGAAAATGTCAACCGTAATGAGTAATTTACAGATCATCTAACCCCGAGTTCAGAGTTTTAATTAATGAATTGAATGACTTCATGAATAGTATTTATAAACCAAATCCTCATTTAATATGTTACATCATTCATGATGTAAACTACTCAAATTTTCTAACAAAAAAAGAAAAAATTGAACTGCTTGGATAAGTTCAAACATCAAAAAACTAAGTGTTAGACCTGAATATGTTCAGCCAATTCCATACACTGATACGGTATTATATAAATAATGATTACTAAATTGTGGTCAAAATATGATGATCGGAAAATAAAAATCACATTTCACACAAAAATTAATATATTTATCACATAATTGAATAGAACTGGCCGATACTGAAAATCCATATTTCCATGTTTTGCTATACAATAGCTTCCTCAAGCATAAACAGCAGAGTGTATGCTTGAGGAAACATATGTCGCGTATAGCGAAACGTATGTCGCGGTTTTTGTAAAACCCTTTATAGTGAAAATAATACAATAAACTGTATTAATTAGTTTTTTTATTTATTACACGTATATATACATAAGACCCTCCATGTAATCTTCTTTAGGCAGAGAAAAATCGATTCCTCTAGCGATTCCCAATGTTGATGTAATTGCCCACAGAATAAAGAAAAAGTAGTTTATATCAGGTAACTTCAGAAATGTTTTTTTTTTCGATAGTCTTCAGACTTACTTTGATTTCTGTTAAGAGTATTGGTACATGGAATGTACTGAGTATTGGTATATTGAATGTTTCTAGCTTTTGAGTTGGAGCTGCTACAAGTTAACATATCTTTCTCTTACACAAAAGTTTCATACATGCAGTGGAGTCCCAGAGACACTGCTTTTTGGGTCGGATCTTTCTTGCACTGATGAGAGATAATACCTCGAAACCAGTTTGTAGGTGATCTATTTTATTGATTTCAGTGTGGCCATGCTGCTTTATGAATGAGAAACATCTGTTTTCTCATTAATCAGCTTATGTTAACAAAAGATGAACGAGGTATCACCCTCTAACTTGAGTATTCTAGCACTGTGTTGGTCAACATTTGTTATGACTAAAATCATATAACATGTTCCCATTGAAAATCAATGATCTATTTTTTATGACTCATAATTATTTAAGTACTTTTTTTAGTGGAAATCGAATATGGAAAGAAAGATTAAAACAATTCAACTTCAACACGCTACGCTTGTGCTGTGTCCCCTGTATATTGGAAAATGTTTCAATGTTGACACCTAATATTTCAATACAAATCATTTTTCGGTAACTGTACTTCATGTCAAGGTTTTAATGAAAGCTCAATGTTCTGTGTAAAACTCTGTAAAAACCGCCAAATCTTCAACTTTTTCATCGTTTCATCTATTGACGGAAATAATCGAAGAAAATAGTTTTTTCTCCATAATCTAATGAATGATATAATGTGATATTCCATTTGGATGTGCATTTATTTGGATACTGTGAATAATTTCGTTAACATTTCTAGCAAATTAAACTGGAAAAGTCCAAAATTTAATACAAAAATGGAAATAAATACTCACTTTGGTGTGTTTCACTCAAAATATTTTCAATAATATTCAAAAACACAACAAAAACATTCTTCTGAGGAAAAAAGTTAATAATTCATTACAATCACAACTTGACCACTCATTTGATAATGCAAAAACCAAACTTTGTTTTATTCCAAAGCCACCTTCCCTATAAATCACAGTTTTGATACTTTTATGAAATGTTTACGCCTACTAAACTTACCTTTTGAAAAATTTCTGTGTATACAGGAAAAATCAATACTTTTTCCATTCTGAAATGAGTATTGATAAAAAAACTTCGACAACCCAGTTGACAAATAATATATTAATTAAAATAATATATACATAAAAATATTCTGGTAACAAATTCTACACAATGTTGAAGAAGGCAGAAAATAACGCCCTGTATCAGACCTCAACTGTCGATTTTTCTGTTCCGTGTGAGTCGCCGCATAAGCCGTGTGCATAACTTCATACAGGGTCGAACTTAATGAAATGGAAAGAGAAATTAAAGGATGAGCTCCACGAAAGCAGTATCCAAATCGTCTCCAATTTCCTTGAAGCGTTCCTTCTCGGCCACCAGCTCGTCTGAAAGTGAAATTGTCTCAAACGTTGGAAGTTGGGGAGTTTTCGAAAATCTGGGTTCGGTTTTTTCATGTTGAGAATTTTGTAATGAAAAATCGTAATATTGTACCTACCTATTCGTACCGGTGTGTGTGGTCTGTTGATTTGTAAGTTTTAATTCACGAAATAACCCGTTTTCAATGAATTTCTCGTGAATTGCACTTCCTTTTGATCAAGAAAAGAGAGATCTAACCTCAAAATTCAGGGTGCCCAAAGTGATTTTTCTTAGACTAAATGTTTGTCTTAATTTCAGGCGGTAGCAATTAGTTTTGAGGGCACCCGGCTATTTTGAAGAAATGTTTGAGTGTACTTACGTATTTTGATGCGTAGATTACAAATCCGAAAGAAAAAAGCGGCGCTATTCGTTATTTACAAAGTTACGACTCTTCAAAGTTCAGAAAAGGGCAACTATTCAG